TTCTCGAAATAGAAGATAAAAAATCTCTAGCATGGCCCTAATACTCCGTCGTAAGATCCAGAATGGTTTCGATAGCATTTTCTTTTAATAAATATTCTAATATAATTTCACGTCCTTTGACGATCTAAAATATGGAAGTGTAAAAATATATGGATAAACAGAACAAATCTGTGAGGGACAAACATTTTTCAAAGCCTTGAAAAACCTCTGACTTGTGATTCATGCTATAGAGAGTGGTGGACGACCTGAAGCGGAGAGAAGAGGACATAGACAGAGTGGCTGGCCTTTCTCATGACCTGCAGAATCTACTCAATGTAAGAACAACATAGAAATATAGTATTACGCATACATTTCATATTAAACATCTAAGCTACTGTATACGCCAAATTCTATAACACTGGTAACTTTTGCTTTGTAGGACTATGAAGCTGATGTCGACAAATTCAATGGTACACTTGAAGCTGCCGGTACACCTGTTCCGAAGAAGCCTCAAATGCTGACACTCAGTGATTCCATTGACAAAGAGGTATCATACATGTTTTTACCATGATGTATTTATTAACTGGAGTTTTTTTAAGATTCTTATGCATTTTATGGAATCTGTTTTTTCTTACAGGAAAAAAATCTGGCAATGCGCTATGCCGAAGCAAAATCGGAAAACATTCAACGGCAAAAACAGATGGACCTGGCTCAGACTTTCCATTTACAAGTAAGAAATCCATTAAAAATAATTTTTACTCCTGAAACTGTTAAGCCGGGCATACACTGTGCGATGTTTTCATTTTTTGCACGCAGCTACAGCTCACACTGTACGATGAAATCGCAGGGTTTAAAAGTTTACAGCTCCCGATGTATCTTCTCACACTGTGCGACCCGATGCTCTAATGCGATCTATCTGCTCACATTGCACGTCTAAAAACCACCCTTAAGACTCAGTGCCAAGAGATGGTGTCGGGTTCATAAAATGTAGGTTTTTTGAAAAAGGAAGAACTGAAATACACAATTATGGAAAAAATTTCTGCAGAAAAGAGAGACAGTTGAACCCCAGACTCAAACACCCTGTCTCCCACTGGACCTCCTCCGCAGAGCGTTTATTAACAGAACATGACGCATGGTTACAAACAGAGTATTGTTCTGACAGAACAGTTGATCAGTTCATGAAGACAGAATGCTCCATCAGAATGACAAGGAAGGATGGTCTCCTGACTGAATCATCATCCCCTTGCACAAATGTTTCATAAACACATATTAATTTTATAATCATCATTGAATAAACCTAACAGATGGCGCTGGTCGGACACGTCAATCTGGAAGACGAAGAAGAGGAACTTCCTTGTTTGCGCATGCAGAGTGCTCTAGGTTCTGGTAAACTGGCTCATAGCTCTGCTTCAGTAGCAGGATTTGTCCACGAACACCTTACAATGGCCGTCTGAATTTCAAAAATGTTTGATTTTCTTCTGACCTCACAATTCCTGATCGGGAGGTGGTCGTGAGAGGCTGATCGCCCCTCATTACCCCCTGTATACTACACGACGCTGGATGCACGATGAGGCTGAAAGTCGGTCCAATTGAAAAAATTCTTGCATGACTGGAAAATCGTCCCAAAAAGGGAAAAAAATTATAGTGTATGCCCGGCTTAACCTATTGTCAAAGCTAAACAGAAAATAACCCAATGAAGTATCGAAATGCCTAAAATTGTTTTGTGTTTTTTCTGCTGCAGAATGAAGAAAAGGTTCAGATGGTGGCACAGAAACAGGTGCAGCAGGAAAACCAGCAAAAAAGTGCCTTTGAATTGGACAGCCTGGTTAAAGAACTAGAGGAAGAGAAGGAGAGGACAACCCATGCTCAGACAGAGCTAAAAACCTTCAAAAGCAGAATGATGTCACTTAAGAGCCGCAGAGGAGTGGAACGTGTTGAGGAGAAAGAAGTCCTGCAGTACTACCGGGACCCTAAATTGGAAGCTGATCTGGCTGAGTTGAGAGACATACTGGATAAAGAAGCCATGAAGCGTAGCTCCACCCAAACAGAGGTTGAGATAATAAATGAGAGAATTGTATCTCTGGAGGACACCATCAAGAATAACCCCCCGAAGCTCCTGACTAGAGAGGTGACTGAGTTTGAAAAAGATCCACAATTGGATGTCGAGGCTGCCAAGATAAGGGATGAAATAGCTAGAATGAGAGATGAAATCCGAGTTAGAGATGGAGAGCAGATTCAAATGAAGACAGAGGTTTCAATTCTCCAGCAGAAGAGGCCACCCATCAAGGAGAGAGTGGTTAAGAAGGAGGTGGTGAAAGTAGAACAAGATCCACAAATGGTGAAATCATTAAGAATTTTTGAGACTGAAATTTCCGATGAGAGCAAGAAGTGCACACTACTCAACGATGAAATCTTTCAGACAAGAAGTCAAATTAATGCTCTTGAAAGAATGATCCCCAACATTCAGCCTAAAGTCATCACAAAAGAAGTGAAAAAGATTGAACAAGACCCCGACCTCATTACAGAATCAACCAAGCTGCGAACAACCTTAGAGGAAGAAAGAATAGAAAACAGTTCTTTGTCTCAAGAAGTGATGGACCTGCAAAGACGCTACAGAGAAGTTCAAGCTTTGAAGCCAAGAGTTGAGATCAAAGAAATCATAAATGAGCTTTACCGGATCGACCCAAACACAGAGGTAGAGATTATGCGCCTTCGCAAAGAAATACAGGATACAAATAAACAACGTGCAGATATAGAAAAAGAGACCAGACAAGTCAACACTGATCTAAATGCACTTTATTCAGAGAAACCTAAAGTAGAGGTCAAAGAAGTTCTCCAAGAGGTGGTGAAGGAAGAAAGAAGCCCTGAAAACGAGCGAGAGATCGCAAGGCTTAATGATCAGGTGAACCGCCTAGACAGCCAGTGTACCACCCTTGAAGATCAAGTCAGACAACTGCGGCGAGAGAGAGATGAATGGAAGGCCGAAAAGTCAAAGATAGAGACCCAGCTGGTGAACAAAGAGGTGATCAAATATGAGCCCGATCCACTGCAGGAGAAGGAAGCGGAGCGTTTGCGAAAAAAACTGAGGGAAGAAGCACAGTTGAGGAGAGACACAGAGGAGATGGTTTTTGACCTTCAAAACAAATACCTAATGTTGGAGAGACAGAAACCAGAAGAGAAGGTTGTGGTGCAAGAGGTTGTGCGCCTCCAGAAGGACCCAAAGCTTGCAATGGAGCATGACAGGCTTAGTAGAAACCTGGATGATGAAGTAATGAGTCGACGTCAGCTGGATCTGGAGTTACAGCAACTGAGAACAAGGTTGGAAGACAAAGAGCGCATTTTAAGGGAGAGTGATGAGCACCAAAAAAGGATTCAAGCTGAATCTGAACTAAAAGAGATCCGACTACGCATCACTCAACTGGAAAATGCCCCACCCCCAGTTGAAGAAAGTATAGTAGTTGAGGAAGTATTGAAGGTTGAAAGAGATCCAAAACTGGAGAGAATGACGGGTGGTGTACGGTCCGACATGGACCAGGAAAGCAGAGAGATCCTGCGTCTCCAGAGGGAAATCCGGAAAATCACAATGAGGCTAGAAATCCTGCAGAAAGAGAAGTCAGGTGAAAAGACAGTGTACAAAGAGGTGGTTCGTGTGGAGAAAGATCAGGCTGTTGAAGCTGAAAGGGATCATCTTAGGGAGCAGGTGTCTCAGAACAAGTTTGCCCGACAAGACATGGAAGATGAAATCAGACGTCTCAATGACAAAATTAATGCTTTGATGAGCTCCCAATCTAACGTTTCAAGAGATGAGACAAGTATGCGTATGAAAAAAGAGGCTCTATTAAGAGACAACGATGACCTCACCAGGGAATTCAGAACTCTTGAAGCAAAGAAACGCGACACCAGCATGTCTTTCCAGCAACAGAGCCGACTGATGAGTGAAAAAACACAGAAGAGTAGGCAGAGAAGCGTTAAGATGGAATCAGACGTCCAGCGGTTGGAGAGGCAGATCTTGGAAGAGAAAGATAACATTCATCAACGAGACAGTATAATCCGTGATTTGTTGATGTACATACATAGAGAGGATGACACAGAGACAAGGACCAAAGAAACCAATGTCTCTACAAAAGTCACCGTTTTGGATCCAGACACTGGCAAAGAAATTTCTCCTTATGATGCCTACCTTGGGGGCATGATTGATCGCCAGCAGTACATTCACTTACAGGAGCTAGAATGTGATTGGGAAGAAGTAACTTCCACTGGTCCTGATGGAGAAACATCTGTCCTACAGGATCGTACGAGTGGAAAGCAGTACCCTATCAAAGATGCTATTAAGGAAGGAAGACTAACAGAATATGATTTACAACAATACAGAAAAGGGGAGCTTCCTATCTCAGAGTTTGCCCTTCTTGTTGCAGGTGATAAGAACAAGCAATCCAAATCAAATTCAGTCACCAAAAAGCCAAATTCATCCGTCAAATCACTACCCTTAGATATTAACTCCGCTAACGAAACACAACCAATTGCTGGAATAATGGATACGCAAACAGATACCTGCTGTACAATCCGTAATGCCACCTGGCGCAAACTGATTGAACCCATGAGTGCCCAGAGGCTCCTGGAGGCTCAAGCAGCAACAGGCGGCATCACTGACATTAGCAACGGTGAGAGATACAAAGTCAACAAAGCCTTACAAAGAGGTCTCATTGAGGACAGCCAAGTCCAAAGGCTTCTTAATGCAGAGAAAGCTTTCACTGGGGTCCAAGACCCCGTGACCAAAGAATGTTTGTCTGTGGGAAATGCTGTTCAGAGGGGCTGGACGCCAAAAGATACGGCAATTCGACACTTGGAGGCCCAGCACCTTACCGGGGGACTCGTGGATCCCGCCACTGGACGTAGAGTGAGCCTTATGGATGCCATTGGATCAGGAATGATTGACAATGCAATCGCAAGGGATCTCCAAAACGAGTCGGCCTATGTCAAAGATATTGTAGACCCCATCACAAAGGAGAAGATCAACTACAAACAAGCTTTGGATCGCTGTAAGAATGACCCAACAACAGGTTTACCTATGCTTCCTGCCTCCTCCAAAGTGTCTGAATACAACTCTTCCAAATATGCACGTTTCTAGAGAGCTTTTCTCTTTGAAGTTTATGCTATGTGACATGCTGCACAAACATTTTTTTCTGTGCAATATCACAAGGGCTCAGGGAATTCATCTATTTTTACAACAGGATGAATTTTACAGTCCGCATATTTTGCCATACCAAAATAATTGCTGCTGAGTTACCTTTGTTTACTAAATGTATTGTGTGGGTATATTTGTTTTTGGTTACTTCTGTATGATTTAATTGAAAAACATAAATTTTAGCTTTTTTGATATTGCATTTGCTTGGGATTTTGGGAAATGGTGCAATACCATCTGCTAAGATACAACGAATTTATGTAACTCATTGCTGACTTTGAACCATTTTTGACTGTTTGATACTTTGTGATGAATTAAACAACAATAAAATTAAGTTATGATGGTTCAGGAGCACAACGACTTTATTTTCTGTATCATATATTTTAACATTTCAATTTCCTTACTGAGTAAATAAGCTCAGTTTGGTAAAGTTGAATGTTGATTCAAAGTTTTCTATCTAAGGAAAACCAGCTGATTGCATCGACTCATTGACTCTTCAGCAATCCCTCACACTAATTATGCTTGTAGCAACAGTGGAGAGGAAAAACTCCATTTTAACAGGAAGAAACCTCCAGCAGAACGAGGCTCGGTGTGAGCGGCCATCTGCTGAGGCCCACTGGGGTTCAAGGAGACAGAATTCATTTCAGTTTATTTTTTAGAATAGACTACTTAATGGCTATAAATATGAACAAGTTTAGTTAACCACTTGAGTATCAGGAATTAATACGTCTTTTGTCTGACATTTTAACCATAAAGGAAAAAAATCTCAGTCTCCTCAAAAGGTAGAGTCTCTTGACCCCCTTCATGTAAAGAGCATATAGTTGTGACTCCAGTCGAGGTTATTTCTTAGTAAAAGACCAAGATCTCAGCATCAGTTCATAGATTTTTTTAAGGCGTCTGTGAAGTGAGTCTGCATCTGTGAAAATCAGCAACCAAGGAGCTGGTGGTAGATTAGGAACTGGCACTTGTCCACAAGCTCCTGTGCTTATTGTATTCTGAGAAGTCTGCATATGGAATCCTTAGTACAACATCAAATATGATGTGTTCAAATTGTACCATTTACTACTAAATCTCCTTCAACCTACAAAAATAAGTAACTTTATCAGTGTGTTTAAGAAATCCATGTCTGCCACTAGAGACATCAAAACAAATCTGAGAAGGAAGAATTCGGACAAGCTGGGGTTGGAGAAAGAAACCAACTTTTCTATTAATAACTCTAAATCAATGTGGCTTTTAGCAGAATATCATTACAATAAACAGAAATGAAGACTGTAAATGTCATTCTAAGTGTAATTTCAGACTCTTGATAAACTTGATATAGATAGTACCTACTGTAGCTAGTGAGACTGATGGAACTTTGATTAATATTCAACTACAATCATTCATAGTCAACCCGTCCAAGAGTCTTTGCGTTTGCATTGTCGTCCATGCAAATCCAACAAAGCTGCTTTGGTTCTGCAGTGGTTCAGTGAACTGAATTAATAACATTATTCAGGAGATATTGTTTTTTTTCACAGCACAATTGGTAGGGCAGTTTTATATTGACTATACAAACTTAACAGCAGGGGAAGAGCTGTGGCCACCCCTACCAGGTGATTGGCTTTTCCCATGGGAAGCAGTTCCCATCTAAACCAGAAGGTGGCAGCAGTCATACTCTAAAGTGGAACGTCCTAAAGTAACATTTTAGTTATTAATATATGAACCATAATATATGATTCATTACAATAAACTAAGATTTAAGATGGAAAATACAAAATTCCTGCTCTTTTTAGAGCTAGTTAGTATGTATCATTGGGGAGAACAGAAGGATGTATAAGTGAGAATAATCTAAGAAGCTCCTTTGTAATTAGAGATACATAATTGCTCCACCCATTTACAGGGTTTAACCAAATAATATAGAACGCATTGATGAATAGATAAGTGTTTCAGGAAATGTAAATTTAATTCAGTTTTTTAAATAGCTACAATTCACAACACATCATCTCAAGTAGATTTCATGGCGTTAAATCAGCCTGATTAAAATCCCCAGCAATGATGAAAATGCCCTCTGTGTGAGCAGACTGAAGCTCAGAGATAACCTGGTAAAGAATCTTCTTGGCCTCTTTGTATTAGCGCTGAGAAGGATATAAACAGCAGTGATGCTAACCATGATAAATTCTCTGGGCAAGTAGAACAGTCTTCAGATGCATTGACTGACCCGTTACTCTGGTCCAAAAGACTATAACTTCTGTTTTGGGTGCATTCAGAAGCCGAAAGTTTAGACTCATCCAGTAGCATTTAAAACATGCATTTCAAGGTTTGAAGAAGGTCAAAATAAGTTCACCTGCAAAGGTTAGTCTGCATTTTAGGTGCTGTTGTTATTCTAAAAGCTAAATACACCTACATTTCTGAGAGTATTTCATATAGACTTTGTTTATACATATTCGCCATCGGCCTGTTTTTCAGTGTAGTCCTGTTTCTCTGACTGTGACTAACTGGATGTGCTCTCTTCATCCTTTGACATAGGAGCTGGCTCGGAGCTCGTCAGCCTGGCTGTGTGTTTCCTGGACGGGGCAGCCTTTTACAGCTGCTTTTTCTATGTCTGCTTCTGTCTCCTTGAACCCCAGTCGGCCTCAGCAGATGGCCGCTCACACTGAGCCTGGTTCTGCTGTAGGTTTCTTCCTGTTCAAAGGGAGTTTTTCCTCTCCACTGTCACCACATGTATGCTTAGTGTGAGGGATTGCCTTCGAGTCAATGAGTCGATGCAATCAATTAGTTTTCCTTAGATAGAAAACTGAATCAATCTGACTGGATTATGTGGTAAACCTTAAAGTTCCTTGAGATGACATTTGTTGAGAATTGGCGCTATAAAAATAGAATAGAATTGAATTAAATAGACCACATTAGCTGAGAATACTGCAGGATACCCCGGATCTAAGCGAGAGTGTTCCTAGAAGTAAATGATCTGAGTGACCTCAACTGTCTACAAACACATTTCTGTTATTTTGAAGAACCTTGGTGAATGGGAACATGTTGAAGGGTCAGACAAGATGTATATTGTTTAAATATATTTATGATTAAATACCACCTATGCGTCCATTTCCTCAGATCACCTGTTCTTTACATATTGTTTAGTGTCATGTGTGTCTTCTGTTTTCTGTCTACTTATTTTTTTTCCGCAGTCACACCCACTTTTTTTCCACTGTAGAACAATCTTTATCAGCTATCCATACACACACAGCAGTGGGAGCAATGCGAAGTAACTGACATTGGTCTTATTACATAACAGCGTACCTAGTGAAAAGTATCAAAAACTCAAATTATTAGAGGTGTGGGACATCTAGGCAGCCTGGTATTAGAATAAAGCTAAGGTTGACCAAGTAGTATCCAAATACCACATGAATAGAAGAAGCATTGCCCTTGCAGGTTAACCACAAGAACATAATGCTTGAAGACCTTGATTGTTGTTCAGATTACGTGACGCCCTGTTTCATAGCTGACTGATTGCTAACTGCAAATGCACAATGTATACATTATAAACACAGTTAAACATGCGGGCTCGTATCACCATACCAGCCTAAAAAGGAAACATTGGCGGGGTGGGAGTGGTGGATGGGGGGGTAGGGGGAGATGCTGTAAGAGAGAAACTTCTAGATGTTCTTCAGAGATGACAGGGAAACAAAAAACAAATTGTGCTGGCATTCACTGGTATCTACGTCGCTGTTAGGTTTATTCAATGTGATTATAAAATGAATGTGTGCTTATGGAACATTTGTGAGAGGGGATGCTCCGCTCCTGTGTCATGATTCAGTCAGGAGACCATCCTGCCTCGTCATGCTGATGGAGCATTCTGTCTTCATGAACTGATCAATTGTTCTGTCAGAACAATACTCTGTTTGTAACCATGTGTCATGTTCTGTTCAGTCTGGGGTTCAACTGTCTCTCCTTTCTGCAGAAATTGTATCCATAAATTGTGTATTTCAGTTCTTCTTAAGCAAAAACCTACATTTTATGAACCCGACAGTCGCCTTAAGAAAAAAGAAATGATTGAAAATGGTCCACTAAAGACAATCAATGATTCAGCTGTTCAAATATCTCTCTTTACTTTAATGTTGTTTACTTTTTTCACACTTTTGACTCACCTAAAGTTGAGCAAACACCAGGTGAAGGAGCTCAGCTTTGTCGCCCTGTAAAGCACAAAGGTGTACTTTGTTGCTGAAAGAAAACTTAAAAATACTTTTAGTGACAAAGTAATCATCAGGAATTGATGGACTAACTGTTCAACATTACTGCAGCGTACCAGAGGACCGATCTCACTCCAGAACATGGCTGAATGAGCAGCGCGACAGCACGCAAATCTACCGCTCTGGAAGTTCAGAGACAGATTAAAAAGTAGGCTTATTATTCATGAACTGATAACTGCAACAATTTTAAACCTTTTTTCTGTGACAAATTAAAGGATGAAAACAGTCTTGTTTCTAAGGATTGCCATAACCCACATGCAGAACATTCACAGGAGGCAGATAAAGTTTTAAAGGTTTAATATAAAATATTAACAGGTAAACAGGAACTGGAAACTGGGGTTTGACATCCACTGTATGCAAAAGACAGAACAGGTTAGTGCTGGTGCCCTGAAGGTGGTGCAGGAGTTATTGTTGGTTTACTTACTGGTGCGGTTGAGGTGAACCGCCAGGGGGGGAAATATCTGGTCTGTGCCTCAGGAGTCACAGACTGATCCAGGTTTGGTAAAGAGGAGGAAGGGTAAAGTGGATTGGCATTAGGGAGGAGGGTGGACAGGGTTCCGAGGAGATCTTATGAGATCAAATGAGTATTTGTTGGCTTGTGCCCCTTTGGCAGAATACTGACTTCCTATTCCCAGGATATTTAAGAGGCAATGGAAAAGCTCTAAGTTGCACAAAGCCCAAAGCATATAAGCGATAATCACTTATGTGCTTTGGGAAGCAAAGGAGAAGCCTATCTCTTGAAACAAAAAAATGGTCCATCCTATCTATTTTTTGATAAAGCTTACAGTTTATCAAAAAAATTGCTCAGGTTATCCTGAGCTATCTCTATAGTTCTGCTGCTATAGGCTTAGACTGCTGGAGGACATAGGGACCCATTTTTCATCATTCTGCTTCATTCTATCTCTATTCTCCCACTCTGCAGAAT